GGTGTACTCATAGTCGTGCATGCCGTTAGACCATTGACCTCGCATCCCTACAAAGCCGGGACGGAGCATGCCGGGTTCTCACCGGACCAGGCTATCACATCACCAAGCGCGAAGCGCCGTGAGGTATTTGGCGAGTCGCATGAAGGGTGAGCTGCATCCTGCTAAGGGTGTTCGGCATCTTGTGCTTACTTCCTTGCGTACGGATGACAGCTGCGTATGACTTAATTTATTTTCTGGTGCTTTCACTTCCAGAGACAGTTGTAAGCACTGTGTAACTGCCTCGAGGATGCTTGATTGACCATTTTAACACAACGTGGTGCGATCATCCCCCTTGCGCGGAGTGAGGTTTCTCGACCCCGCACAACATGATCTACTCGACCACCATTCATTATGGTTATATAAAGGAGGTCCAGCTGTAAGAAGCAGCTGGGTCCTAGGGTAAAGAAAGAGGTACGGTCGCTTGATGCCTTGTCTCCACGATTGTGTAGAAATGAGATGTTGCTTGAATTGAGAGCGAGGAAGGTCTGATTGAGGAGGGGATCCTCCTAGCAACCAGGGGGCACGCAGATAGCTGAGTCCTGATGTGGTATGGTCCCTGAGAGGTATACCTCACGGACATCCCACATCCTATACTAGACTAAGATGTACCCTATCTAGGCCCTACAGCAACACTCCTTAACAGTTACCGCAAAAAAAAAACAGAGGTAAAAAAACGGTAACAACCTGGTTGCTTGCCGAGTTCACAAAGTGAATTGAATTGGCTTGTTTTACAACGTTGTTGCCAAGCGACGAAAACCCAATCCCGATGGCAAACACCGGAGGGGGCTTGGGCGGGGGTATTTAATTGTTGTGTCCGTCGTCTCCATCTCTTATATATATATATATTACAGTACTTCGAAGTAATATATTTCCAACTCATCACTCGCGAACGCACGGGGCGGTGTCCTTTTTCACGACGTTTTTTTGTTCTTGTGTGTGTGTGTTTTTATTATTAGCATCGACCGCGCTAACCGGCTGATCAATGAAAAGACGTCGTCGTCAGTCTTAGTGCGGTTGGTTGAAAACACAAAACACTTCTATCTGCCATGAACTGGGACCCCGTGAGGGGGCAGCATGTATGTGTGTGTGTTGGTTCGGCGAGGGGGTGCCTTTTGGGTACGTACTACATCTTCTTTGCAGCACAGCGATTTCTTTGTGA